GGCACCTCTCTTGTTAGTTGTCCAGGTGCAGCCCAGAGTCCACGACTTACTTCGGCCAGAGGCCCACTGGCAAATATTGTCAGTCTTACAGCTTCTCACTATTCTCCGGAATCCCATCCTTGTCAGTCCTAGCTCGGTGGTTTCCCCCCTCCCGGGGAATCTCTATAGCTCTACATAGTCCTAGGCCTGGTCCTGTCCTTCCCATGGACCAGCCTACGTTCTAGAATCAGTCTCCCTCCGGAGACTCTGCAGACAGTCTTAGACTTCTCCTGTACTCTCCTGAACTGAACTCACCTCCCCTCTCGGGCGCCCCCTATAAATCAACTTCTCCTGGGACACAGAGTCTCCACAGGCCAGAGCTACATCTATCTCCAGGGCCCCATGGGGGCATCTAGTGGCCGTTGGCCGTACTGCACCTACCTACAAGTATATTACATCACTTCCTGCATCCTTCTGTCACCCTGATGAAGATCTCGGCTTCGTCGGCCTCTCTGATGGGTCCCTAGGTGACATTAGGGGTCCCCTGATTGTCTCCATAAAGAGGACCTGTCATGTGAACTGGCTATCACGTAGGGGACTTCTTAGTCCTCCTATGTGATAGCAATAAAGTTAGTGTAAGAAAAAAAAATCTAAAAAAAGTAAATCAAAAAACAAAACCCTAAAATTGTTAAGAAAAAAAAACCACTGAGATTTTTTTTAAGGCCCCCCCCCCCATACGCGCAAACATGCGTCGGGTGCGCCTACGTGCGAAAACGACGACTGCGCCCATCACGCCGCACACGTTACATATCGTCGCGAACGTGGCACTTCACAGCAATAATTCTCCGCCCATCAATCACCGATAACGCTAAACTGATGAGCGTTAAAAGCGTTTTAAAGCGTCGCCTGCGGCCAATTCTCGGTGTGGTAGTGTTTTGGCGATATTTCGCAGGCGCGCGCAATTCTAAGACTTGACATGTTTGGTGTCTTATTTACCTGACGTCGCCCCCGAATTTAATATTTTACCAAAAAATATGGGTAAGAATAAATGTTGTAGGGAAAACTGTTTTATCCCCCCGAAATGTATGGTACTTTTTCCATTCTATAGTAAATAA